TCGGAAATACTGAGTCGAATAATTATTCTAGTTTTGGGCCTTAAATTATAGCAATATTAATGGTTTCTCTTCATAATAAATTCAATCGAAAAACTAAATTGTAATGCAAACTTAGGGTATAAGTGGTCACTGATACTACTGGTAATTTTTCATGTGACTTCGTGCAAATCTTTCTTTTATTACAATTTTGTCTTCATTTTAAGTTCTCTAAACGGCTTCTACGAATTGTCTGGTGTCTGTTTTCTAGGCTTAATTCACTCCAGCATACCCCACGTTGACTGTGCTGTTGTCCACATAATTCTGATATCATTAAAACAACTCAGCAAAACAGTAACTCAAAATAGATGAAATAGGGGCGAAATGTGGGCAAAAGAAACATCTACGCCGAGATTCCTGATAAACTACAAGACATTGTGCTCCGGAAGGATTAGCGTCTTCTGCTTCATCGACGTCATCCATTACATTTTTGGTCTTTCCAATCAAATCCATGGGTAGTATCGCATTCTAAAGTAAGAGAGCTCCATGTATGCTAACGAGCATCAAACACATTTTGATAGGATCTTAAATGAGTTTTCATCGCATAAGAAATTATATAATAATTTCGAGACGAGTTTCATAAAATCTCAGATGAAACGAAAACGAATTTAAGATGCTTTATATCACATAATTAAGATATTATGTCTTCTGTCTAAACATCGAACAAACAGCTGTTTTTGTTGACATTCATCGCATCACAAAATCCGAATGAGTCGGTTAAGGCATACGTCGCCATTCCAAACTTGTGCTTACTCTGCAGACTGCAGAGGAAAAACAACAGATTAGTTTGACTTAATTTAATAAATTGCAGATTACTATAAAATTCGAATACATCATCACACTGGATATGTTGAAAAGATATTTGATATCCCAGTTTGTGACGTCATAACGCGCAACATTCCATGATGTGTTATTACAACGACGCGCGTAGTAGGTCATAACACTACGACGCGTAGTAATATTAAAAACCATGGGGAATGAGATGTATTAAGCGTATTCTGCTTTATTTTCGATGCCGAACAAGAATGTTTGACAATAAAAGTACTGTAAAAATAATGTCATGTTCTCATAGAGAAATTAAATGACATCGGAGTCATCAGGATTACACAGCACATCTAACACGTCCTACTTCATATTGCACAAGTAAATGAAATAGCTTCCAATGGCATCATTATCACGACCACAAACCTCCCCATCAGCTTCATCATCACGCATCTCTCGAAACCTAGTGCTAGGAGTTTATTTGCCAATATATTGCTCTAAAACCGTGCTATTGGGAACAAACTCCTGAATACTGAATCAAATAGGAAGCATAAATACCAAAGGTTCGGGAAGCAGGCATGTTTCTTTTCATAACTGGGAAATCTACAGTAGTGAAATTGAAATCATCACGTTTTATGATGCATCTTTGTGATTTAAGCCGTTCTCATTGGTTTCACTGTTGGGAACAATTCATGTAAAACGACTGAAACAGAACAGCTTTGCCGTGTCCTTGATTGTGGTGGGTAAATACGATGGAGACGGTAAACGAATGTCTTGTTATCAAATGACGTCATCAATGCGCTTTAAAACGTCTATGATATCTGCGATAAATTCCACTTTGTAAGAAAACAAAAGCAGTCAGAGAAGGTTACTGTTTGTTCTGTGGAAAGACCTTATCGTCACGCTCGACATAGATATAGTCCGAAGTTATTTTATACGGTTTTTTCTTTCGTATATTTTGTCCTTGATCTTAGCTTACAGCCATACCTTGTAATGCTCTTCACAATTATTTCAAAACTCATATGACAAGAGAACTAAGGTGTTCCTTCAGTTAGAATGGGGAATGATTGTGTACAGGATGTTGGTCCATTGTTTGATTATTGTTGCCCCAATGTTAGCTTAATGCATGTCAAATCAGTCCCGGTGTCGGCTTATTGCGTGTCAAACCATGTCCCAGTGGTAGCTTATTGCGTGTCAAACCATGTCCCAGTGTTAGCTTATTGCGTGTCAAACTATGTCCCGGTGTCGGTTTATTGCGTGTCAAACCATGTCTCAGTGTTAGCTTATTGCGTGTCAAACCATGTCCTAGTGTTAGCTTATTGCGTGTCAAACCATGTCCCAGTGTTAGCCTATTGCGTGTCAAACTATGTCCCAGTGTAAGCCTATTGCGTGTCAAACTATGTCCCAGTGTTAGCCTATTGCGTGTCAAACTATGTCCCAGTGTAAGCCTATTGCGTGTCAAACTATGTCCCAGTGTTAGCCTATTGCGTGTCAAACTATGTCCCAGTGTTAGCCTATTGCGTGTCAAACTATGTCCCAGTGTTAGCCTATTGCGTGTCAAACTATGTCAAACTATGTCCCAGTGTTAGCCTATTGCGTGTCAAACCATGTCCCAGTGTTAGCCTATTGCGTGTCAAACCATGTCCCAGTGTTAGCCTATTGCGTGTCAAACCATGTCCCAGTGTTAGCCTATTGCGTGTCAAACTATGTCCCAGTGTTACAGTGTTAATATTGCGTGTAAATTTATGTCCCAGTGTTAGCCTATTGCGTGTCAAACTATGTCCCAGTGTTAGCCTATTGCGTGTCAAACTATGTCCCAGTGTTAGCCTATTGCGTGTCAAACTATGTCCCAGTGAAGCCTATTGCGTGTCAAAATGTCCCAAAGCCTATTGCGTGTCAAACTATGTCCCAGTGTAAGCGTATTGCGTGTCAAACTATGTCCCAGTGTTAGCCTATTGCGTGTCAAACTAAGTGTTAGCGTGTCATATATGTCAGTGTTAGCCTACAAATCTATGTCCCAGTGTTTATTGCGTGTCAAAAAAGTGTTAATATACGCATGTCCCAGTGTTAGCCTATTGCGTGTCAAACCATGTCCCAGTGTTAGCCTATTGCGTGTCAAACTATGTCCCAGTGTTAGCTTATTGCGTCTCAAACTATGTCCCAGTGTTAGCTTATTGCGTGTCAAATCATCCCTATCTGAAGTAAAGTAAATCGCAACTAATCCGTGACGATTTCACAAATTCCATCATTACAGATTGTGGCCATTAGTCTATTCCTTCGGACAGCTTCTAAAACAAACAATGCCATTTTTTTCGTTTTCGTGTGTGTGTATTGTTTTGTTTTGTTTGGCTTGGGTTGGGTTTTTTGTTTTTTGTTTTGTTTGTTGTTATTTTCTCATAATTGGGCCTTACTTCTACTCCTGTTAGGATCATACTTATTGGTAATTATAGTCATTCAATTGTGATTTAAAGAAGGGTAACTTATCTCCCTCATTAGTCCAGTTGAGTTTCTTTGCTACATGTACCCCATCCGTTAGGAATGTCTTCATTATCCGCCTAGTGCGAGTTCCGACCGAGTCTCTTCCAACTGGAGTAAAGTTTAACATGTTTCAAGAGCAAACAACAAAGGAAACCTCAGTGTTGAAGTATCTCTATGATTTCAAACCAATATGACCAGCATCAATTCGTTGTTAGGGACATACCACCAAAGTGAAGATTACAAAATTCCCATCTCCGGCTGAAGTTTGAAGTCAAATATATTCAGGCATACCTTACTTAACTGCCATTGTTAGCTACAGTATAGATATACTGGTGCACCAATACACCCGAAACGTAAATAAGTAATTTCTTTTTTCAATAAAACAAAATTCTACTAAAATGCACTTAAACACCATGTGTTCCATAACATAGAACTACTTTAAATGACTTCACATTGAAGAGTTCAACATATTATTACAGATATGTAAGGACGAGTTATGTCCCTTTACCTTACTGGTATTAATGATAGACTGATACTACAATGTACAGGCAGTGATGTATTTGATATGAGATGTTATGGTATCAAAGAATTCAAATAACTAGCATGCCATAACCTATAATTTGACTGTGAATTTTGATACATTGTACACTAAAGTCTTATATGTTCAACTCAAATTTCGTAGTTTTCTGTGAACAGATATTTTTGTTGACGTTTGACTCTAGTCCTCTAGTGCTCAGATATTGTGTATCCTAAACTTTTTTGTGAACAAATATATTTGTTAATTAATTGTACCCATGAAACCATTGAAAATAAATCATCCACAAAAATGAAGGATTTCACAGTATATGTATCTATCCTGTCTTTCAGTAAATTTAAAGCTATGTGAATTCTGGTTAAGCAAAAAACTTAAATCAAGCACTGATTAAAACAGATCTGACTTGTACACCCTCAGATCTAACTTCATTCCAAATTTGATTGCTTTGGGTTTAAAGAAAATAAGTTTTACTTTGTTTCTTAACATTGAAAAATAACTGTTAAAAACTTTGTCTTGCTTACAATCCTCCATATTGTGGCCCGAAGAAAGAAATTGTCAACTTCTTTCCTATTCACCAGCTTCACAATTTAAGAGTTTAAACAATGGGTCTAACATCAGTTTGAAGTAAATTGATAAAAAGTTTCATTTATTTGACAGGTACGAGATTAGAAATAAGGATGATGTGACTTTCATAAAGTGATTAAAGGACCGTGGATGATAACAACAAGTCATCACTGACATATAAAAAGTTTCTAAATGAATATTGTAATCGTAATACCACGACTTTCAATTTTTAGTTTAAATGTTATCATTGATACAGGAAGTATCCTAAACATGTCGTGTGTTGTATTAACTGATATGGATATGAGGCCTATGCCCTGGGTCCATAATATATCCTATTAAATATAATGCTGTTAAATATAAAACTGATCCATCACACCAGTTTAGGACTCCTTCTTAGTCTGGATCAGTGTCTTCTTAACTGTTGCTGTTGGTGTGACTGAGAACAAGACTGAGAGGGCACTGACCTCTGTATACTTCCAGTGTCTTTGGACATAAAGTGTCTTAAGCAATTAACATAGTGATAGCATGATTTGCTGACTACACTGAAGCAGTGCAGCAGATCTGTGGACACAGAAAGCTGTTACAGGGTTAGATCTTCATGTATATATATCACACGACGCCTGTGTAAGTTCAGGTGGACCATTCGGTCCGTTTATTCCATTAGACAGATGTACTTACAAGATGAACTCTGTGTATGGCATGTATGTATGTAGGTATCTTGTCACTTATTTTTACATATTGGTAGGGCAAGTGATGCTCGTCCTTTACCGGCCGGTCACACAATCACACAATGAAACAATGACTGGAACATAAAACTACTGCGAAATCGATGAGCCAATGAAATAAGACATAAGACTATGACGTAAGACAAAGACTAAACTGACCACTGACCACATGATACGATACTAGACTATACTCTAAGACGACATACAGTTATAAACGGAAACTAATAAATACGAATGAACAATTAGGAAGACAAAACAATTTACAATGTATACGAAAAGTCGATCCTTCTACAAAGCGGATAATGAAGACTTGTGAAACAATATGCAGCAGATGATTACTAGAGAATGAATGGGTGAGAAATACTTAAGAACATGTAGTTGAAAAATGCTCACAACTCGATAACTGCTACTGAGAGGTTTACATAGTACAAAAGATGGCTTGTGGTAACTGTCCAATGAAGTCAGTTTTATTTTTAACCCGGGGGCATATTTTTTTGTGTTGTTTCTTTGTTTTTTGCTTGTCTGTTGCCAACTTTAACCTTGCCCATAACTAATGCATGATTAATTTTTTACCATGTGACCTTGACCTTTTACTTACATTTGAAATTTTTTTAACATTGGTCATAACTATTGCACCATTAAAATGTAGGACTTTCATATTTGGCATGCATATTCCTTGTGACGATACCTTTCCCGCTGTACCAAATGTTTTTAACCATGTGACATTGACCATTAACTGTTTCAATTTAACGTTGGCCATAACTGTTGAACTAAAACTGTCAAATCATTATTGCAGTGAAGACATAAGTGTTTCAAAAAGTGTGCATGCAATCATGACACCATCACACAACTAATATCCTATTTGTTATAACGATAAACTTTATTTATTTTACAACAATTGTGAAACAAGTTTTTTCCAACTTATATTAATCACTCTTGTTGCCCCAGGTGGAAGCATGTGATGGGTCTAATTGTTCACTCAGAGCTAGAGACTTCCTTCCACTGCTACTGAGTAAAACAACCAACAATACACATGCCACCAGTGTCCCTTGTTTAATATCCATGTATCATTGCACTTATTTCTCTAGCACTTTGAAGATTTCCCACTCCATAAATATTCAGCCTAAACTGTATTTTTAAGAGCATAGTTTCCGGTCGCTCCATGAACTTCTTGAATTCTGCCAGCCACTGGGCACCAACAGCTCCGTCTACAACACGATGGCAACAGCTTAGAGTCACTGACATCATGTTAGCCTGGGCATACCTTTTAACAGACGAAAATCAAACATAACACAAGTATGAGAGTTAAACAAAATATTTAAGTCAAACAAGTATGTAAATTCAAACAAATGAAGAATTGTCTAGATAAAGATTAATCAAGAAGTAATATATTCTATATTGACGCCTGAATGGGTCCCATATACCATCTATTCTGATATGTATTTCTCAAATTTAATATATTCTGTTACTCATGTCCACAGCTGATGTGATCCTCATTGACCTTGTCAACTTGTATATTGAATCCTGTGGTACGATCAACATTAACACTGATACCTGATAAATATTTAGTCATTTATTAACTATAATAACATGTAATATCCACAATCACCCTTATGAAATAATGGTAGGTGATATAATTGATGTAAATCCTGATGACCTATATAATGACTCCTGTGATACGATCCACATTGACCCTGATGACCTATAAAATGACTCCTCTGATATGATTTAGATTGACCCTGATGACCTATATAATGACTCCTGTGATATGATTTAGATGGACCCTGATGACCTATATATTGACTCCTGTGATATGATTTAGATTGACCCTGATGACCTTTATAATGAGTCCTGTGATGTGATTTAGATTGACCCTGATGACCTATATAATGACACCTGTGTATTGATTTAGATTGACCCTGATGACCTATATAATGACTCCTGTGATATGATTTAGATTGACCCTGATGACCTATATAATGACTCCTGTGATATGATTTAGATTGACCCTGATGACCTATATAATGACACCTGTGTATTGATTTAGATTGACCCTGATGACCTATATAATGACTCCTGTGATATGATTTAGATTGACCCTGATGACCTATATAATGACACCTGTGTATTGATTTAGATTGACCCTGATGACCTATATAATGACACCTGTGCTAAACTGACAATAACAATCAAGCGATGTAAGATGTTCTGAGGATCTACTTACCCTTGACCGCTGTCCTCGTCTATGGTCGGTCTCTTTTCTGCTCAACCCACTGCCAAAATACATGCCTGGAAATAAACACTGGATTTATACACAATTATGTCTTGCCTGTTCTAATTTGTATGGTCATTTTTGAGCAAAATGAAAAACATTCTTGGTCTCCTTCCTTCAAAGTACAAAAATTAATTTTAATGAATAATATGTAACAAAAGTTCCTTGGAACTGTACATGTCGCCTGCTTAAAGTTCAAAGGGGCATAACTCAGCCAAGAAGGGTCACAGACAGCTGGGAATTAAACTTAGTCTGTACCCTTGCAACATAAAGCCATTTACCAAATTTCATTTCGATAACTCAAAGCATATGCCAAAAAAGTCCGGAAAACAATATTCCCAGGAAATTTTCTAAGTTCAAAGGGGCATAACTCTGCCAAAAAGGGTCACAGACAGCCGGGAATCTAACTTAATCTGTACCCTTGCAACAAAAATCCATATGCCAAATTTTATCTTGATAACTCATAGCATTATCGAAAAAAGTCCGGAAAGCTTTCGTACGGATGACGATGACGACGCGTGACGACGGACAAAGTGATCCCTAAGTGTCCGCCAGCTCGGCAGGCGACACAAAAATCATATAAAACTTATGATGCTGTTCTTTTTATTTATAAATGCAGTAAGCATGAAATGAATAAAACAATTTTTATTCTTTATTTCTTAAAATGCATTCAAATAGGACATTTTTACCCCTAAAATATCAGTGACTCTTCTGGAGAAGGGAAAGGAAACTTGTCTCACAGTATTTGTTTAAATATGACTAAACTAAACCAGAAGTGAATTATACAAGTCATACAGACTTTGTAGTTATTTCTTAAATTTATGTAACCTGTAGGGTTCAGATGTCCATTCTAGTATGTAACCATATTCAAGGTTTGAATGGAATAGCACATGTATTTCATGAAAAACAGGGCTAAACACACAAGAATTTTTAAGTCCAGCTTCTCAGTATCCGTAATTTTCAGAGTTGCTTGAACGTAAAATCTTAAAGATATCTTGTAAATAATGACTTGCCCAGTATGTTATCTACCTTCATAACAAGTTTGCTTAAAGTCTGATGAGAGCTTTTAAGCTATGGATCGAAACATAAAACTTCAAAGTAAAATGTTGACAACGCTGCTGTTACTGCCAAAAATATCATCACAGTCTAACTTTTATGACAAAAATTATTCAGATCTTTTCTTCGTGGATATTATCATAATTTTGCGTGTATAGTGCACACTTGGGCGAAAACTGTCGTGTCAAAAAGGGGGTGCATATTATACACAGGAACATGCCTTTCTAGGAGTTATCATTCTTGAGTTCTCAAGCCCAAGCCGGCTGTCATCAATCTCTTCATACTCAAGGTGTTACCTGTTAATAACCATTAATTATCCAATCAGCCTAGCCTTCTATGCTTGTTAAGTCAGGTGTCTGCGCGTATTTGTTTACATAAAATAATTAAATGCGTTAGGGTTACGCTCGTTGTGGTTTTCTAATTATCGATGAATCAAAACATCAACTGTTGCACCATGGTAACCAGTAATGAATATTTATAATTTATATACTCTTTTTTTTTTTAATCTGACCTCAAAAACGTACCTGCGCACTATACCCCAGTGTGCACTATACCTGAAATTTATGGTAATCAAACAAAAAATACACCTAAGTTGTACTAATTTGAGGTAAAACACGAAAATAATAAAATAATCTTGATTCTATCGATAGGTGTAAAAGATGACTTTATCCATGCCATCAATTCAAAAATACATACATTATCATCTTTTAACTTACATTAAGTCCAATGGGCCAGTACATTCAATCCTACTGATAATCAGTGTGTGGACTTCATACAGACAAGTTGATATATCACTTATTGGTAATTTTACTGTTGAATTGTAGTGTGGTATGAGTGAGCTGATTATCAGGCATGGACTAGCACAAAAAGGACAGATGTACTTACTTGTGGAGGGTTAATAACAGCAGAGAATGACTTTATCCCATACATGCCAAGGTTGGAGATAGTAAATGTTCCTCCCTGAAACAAAATAACCAAGTTATGATGTCTGTAATTCATTTAAATATAAGTAACCTCCTACAGAATCATTTCACCCTTTTTTAAATCAATTTTCTCCTTAATTTTCTTGACATGTTTAACAATCTTTTCAACTAGTTTTAAGTGTGAATCATACGCTTTAATAATATAAATACAGGTAATCATCATGATAAAAAACCGACTAATTTATAATAAATTGTTTTGCAATATGAAAGATTTTTCCTATCTACAGATCCAAGTTCTCCAAAGGACAATTAAGTCAATGCCAAACAGAACATTTTAAGGATGACCTAAGCAACGATATATTGTGCTCTCCTCTGGACCCATCAGGCACATTAATCTGGAATCATTATTAAATGCTAGAAAGCTTAGCCTGTCACTGGACAGGTCATATTGAGTTGATAAACAATAATTATAGATTCTTTGGACAGATCATTAGAACTGAAATGAAATGGATACTGTTACATTATTATCCTGTATAGAAAAGATAGACTACCAAGCCGACACATGAAATTCACATAATCTAGATATTTTCAGAGTAATATCTAAGATATAACATTTGATATTAAATATATCAATTATTTATGTAAACTTCTAAACAGTTTAGTGTGGTAAAAGGTAATGAGTTGGTCCCTACCTTGCCCACAGGAATGTCCATCATTCCAGCAGGAATAAAGATTCTTGCAAGGTAACCTTCCTGAACAGATTCAAACCTCATAGTGGCTTTATCTGTCTCAATCTCTGCAGCTAACCTCCATTGTAGGAGAAAGGGCCGGAAGTGCGATCTTGTAATGTGTTGGCAGATCTGCACTGTAATACCGCTGTAGAGAACATACTGGCTTCTGACGAAACAACTGCTGATGTCTTGTGCTCACTTCAACAGTAACTTTTCTGAAGAAATGAAAATTTCACAAAGACATTATGAAAGTTTTAAGAAAAGAGGTTAAAGGCAATAATTTGTTTACTTAAATTTTAAAGTTATGAGATCTATCATTACAAAAACAAACCAGTCAAAAACATACATTCTCAGTTTTATTTCATCTATAAATATGTCCTCTGATAAATTCTGCTCTTTATAATCTGAAATGGATTATAATTAATATGTAGTCACAATATTGATGACTCCATCAATTACACAAATGGCGTAAAAGTGACGTGGAGACTAAGAAAGACAGCAAAACATTTGGTTCATTCTTGTCTGATCTGAACCTATGCAAAACGCGCCAAGAGTTTAGACATGCGACTTAAAGAGGTATGACTAACATAAACATAAACTAAAACAGAGTGGAATAAATGTATATTTCTGCACCTACAGGTATGATGAGACCAGCTACTGTTTGAAAATCTAGCGGACAAAGAATGGCAGTTCTAATCTGTTTGTGGCACGCTGTAAAAAGTATGGTTCCTTGGCACATTAATCATCTGAATGATGATCTTGGCACTGGTTGATTTCCCTTACTTTTTATTGGAACAGATTTTACATTCATTAGATAGACATAAAAGTAGATGAACAGAATTCAAACTATAGTCAACTCTGGTCACAATATACTGCTAGGCTTGAGAGGAATTCTCTTTTACTCTACTGTCAGTACATCTACTTTGTATTGTTACAGTGAGGTATAAAGTATCTGCAGTTTTGTGTAACTTATATCTATATTAATGATTGTACACATCATGTACTTCTAATTAGAGTTTCATGTACAAAGTGTTCTGCTTGTTTTGTTTAATATGTATGTGTACATGTGACCGTGAACTGACCATTTACTGACCTTAGATGACCACTGACTGTTCTCCACATCAAAACATTTGTATACATGTACTGACAGACAACCTTAGAATTCTGGCAAGACCAGATCACTCTGATAGCTGTTGAGATTTTACATTACATCTACATATGTACATCCATTTAGGGACGTAAAATACAGTCTACCGGTATATGAAACGTCCCTGATTTTTACAACATGTGGAATAAAATGTCAAGAGAAACCACCCTGTAGTTCTTCTTTGTGAAACATATGAATTGTAACATTTACATATATATCATATCTTTTTTAAATTAATTTTGACAGAGACCCTGAACCAATATAAGTAATTTTAGTATTTCTATAAAGTAATTCAGTTTGAAATATGATTGTACATTTAGAAATGTGCATGTACACTGTTCCTAGGTTGTGGTAAGGTAGGTGATGGGATGTTGGTTTACACATGGTCAGCAGTCTTTTTTGATCTACAGGTAATGTTACATATAGTTATCTAAGTACTAGTGCACAGGTCAGCATAGATAGAGCCATGTGAGTTGTGTGTGATCGGTATGGCAGGGCTTATCTGTGTGCCATTGCCTTAAGTAAGTTATGTAACACTTGTTCGTTCCATCATATTTAATATTTAGCTTAATATGGTCTACCCATCTGACCTCTATCTGTTATTAAGTATAAAAGAAAGCCCTACCATGGGTATAATTGTCACTCCTCATACATACCCCTTTATGTATACACTTATTAAACTACACTGATACAAGGGAACTGGACTGGACTTTATTATAACTACAAAACTACACATAAGCATTACCCTTCAGCGTTACAAATGTACATGTAGAACTCTGTATGTATTTTCTTGTTTTTTATTTTTTTTTAAATGACAATCAATCAAACTGAGTCTATAGTCTGGGAATTACTAATCTCGTCTGTCTGATTGTGTTTGTTGTCCAACTAGGTTAATTAATATAGTAGACGGTCTGTATTTCACTTTCACTTTCAGGGTTTTCCATAAGAGCTGGTCGCCGGCCAATTTGACCGGCTACTTTGATCATTTGGCCGCCTACACCAATCCAGTTCCATAATAATGTTCCGTACACGACTACACGTACATGGCAGGCCAGCCTCCTACTTACACTACACAGCCCACTAATAGCAAAATTATGGAAAACCCTGCACTTTTTAGTTGTAATTTTTAATGTCAAGAAACGATTCGACTTACACGAAATAAAATGGATAAAAATAAAATGAAATAATTTTTGGAACATCATCGAAACATAGATTTTTAACAAATACAAAAAAATATCAAATGTCTCCAAAACTCAAAATCTGGAGAAGATAGTCACAATCAGTTCGAAAGAAATGACCTAAGGGGAAGGAGATGAGGGGGATTCCGTAATATTACCAGCATGTGTATTTTTGTACCTTATCCTTTGAAGCTTGCTTCCTCGGGTACTGATATATCTGACCATATGTCTGTTGGACTGACAACATTGAAGGAAATGTGGTCAATTTGAGGGGTTGATACATTATAACCTATGAGCAATTTGCCCAAACGTCAACACCAATGTTGATAGTTTGTCAAGACCGGCTTATTTACTTAGTTTCGTAATAATTTCAAATAGGGCGAATATAACTTATATACTTTCTACGACAGTATTTTCCATGTAATTGCTAATGTGTTCTGGCTAAAACTTTATGCAATATAACAGGTTTTATTCACCGCTACTCGATACGAAACTAAATACGTTAAAAGTTATCGCGAGATTCTCGTCTCCATGGTTTTGATTACAAATGGCTGCTCCCATGGCCTGAATGTTGACGTATTGAAATTCATCGGTATTTAGAGTTTCATATATTCATTTCCAGCCATGCCTGGAGGTGAGTATGGAATTTGGTTGAAATTGCATTTATATACAAGTGAATGACGATAACGACCGTTAGAAAAACCTTCAATAATTACTACGTGTAAATAAAAAAAAAACAAGTCAGGCATAGAGACGGTCATCTTTTCTTACAGTCATAATCCGAACGAAGTCCTATCATTCAACATAGGCCTAATATATTTAATATCTCATTTTCAAATTCTATTGTTGTTTTTGTCAGCGATATCAATCACATGCTATCCAACTGATATAAAATACCTTTCCCAACTCCACGTCATACATTTGTATGAGAGTCAAATAGTCAAACTGCTAAATCCATAAATTTACTGCAATATGTGAATTACTGAATCCTGATATTGCTCAGTGTTTATCAGGCGATGCCAGTGATAACATCATAACATCACAAAGACATGCCCGTTCTCTACATAACGATCTGGATAAGCAAACCCCTTTGAAATACTAAATAGATAATACAGTGTGTCATCATAATGGGTTTCCACCCTGAGGAATATCAAGCCCTGTCTATCACCGGGGACAGTCTATTCCGAATAGACAGTAACCCTCATATGCTCCATGGCCAAGAACTGAACCATGGAACAGAAGCTAAATATCTCTGTGTTACCATCATATATCTAAAATGGGATACTTATATAAATAACATAACTGAAAAACCCTATTCCATTTGAGTCTTCCTGAGGCATAATTTAAAATTTCATCCTTCAACTTTAAACAAAATATTTTTAAAATCCCTGGTCTTCCCTTCGGATGAATATGCTATGTGGGACCTTTACTTGGTCTGCCTTCTAATTACTAATGTTTTCTTTTTTCCTCTTTTTTTTTTAAACAGAATCCAAGAAAGACAAGAAACAACAGGAAGATGATAAGCCAGTGATTCACTCTGGGATCTACATCTTCCCAAATGGAGATAAATATGGTAGGTACAAATTGATACACTAACAAAATTATAAGGCAACCAGGGAATTATGCAATGGCCCATATTAATTAGATTGTTAAATACTTAAAATCAGCACTTGTTATAGCAGGATTATTTATAATTCATATTTTCATTTTTATATTGATTTGGCATCCAAAATAACAAAAATGAACATGATTTATTGATTAATTGCTCCATATATAATGTGTTCTTTTTTAGAGGGTGAATTTATCCATGGTAGTGATGGGTCAGTTGAGCGGTCAGGTCAGGGAATACACACCACCACAGATGGAACAGTCTACAATGGCCAATGGGGATCAGATAAGATGAATGGACAAGGAAAACTAAGCAATCCATCAGGGGCAGTTTATGAGGGATGTTTTAATAACAACCAGTTTCATGGCCGAGGAAAATATACCTGGCCAAATAATTCATTTTATGAAGGTGAATTCCAGGAAAACAGGTACAGTGAATTATTTACCCACTGGTTTCAATGTGTCCCTGATCCAAAGTTTCCTAATACAGTGATCAGTCTACATGAAGGTCTCAAGTCTTGTACTCATGGAATTTCTGGAAATAAGTAATATTTCTGTTGCTGGACTTATTGCTTTTAACAATAAAGTTGAAAAAGACTTGAGAAAATAAGTTGTAGATTGGTCACTGCTAATATATCTATTTCATACCTCATTTTAACACTGCGTTTCTCTAGATAAATCAGTGAAAACATAAGCTAATGATAAAAGAAAACTCAGAAACTGACATATATATATATATATATATATATATAACATTTAAAACAAAAATAAACAGTACTTATGATTATAACGATTTTAAAAACAATATTTTATGCAGGTTGGCATATTTTAGATAAATTCTATTTTGTAAAATGTGTTTATATCTGGGATAGATTTTTACAGATTTGATATCAGAATCTAAACTAAACAAGATTTTTTAATTGTCTTTATGCTAATATACTGCAAATATTATGTTTTTTTTTAACTTTTGCAAATTTTGTTTGCCATTTTCACATAATCCACCATTTATTGTTTGAAGGATGGAGGGAGAAGGACAGTTCACAGACACAGAAGGCCAGGTATGGGTTGGAACATTTAGATACAAGGCTGCACCAGGACTCAAGTTTAAACTCAACTTAGACTGAATAACCACAAGAATCATACAGGACAAATGTTAACTCATCATGGATTGAATGTTTTCCGTGATGTACAAATCTTGGAGTATATTCTGGAAACTGCTGTACACTGTTCATGTGACGGTAAACTGAAGCTCTTTTTCAAAACTGACTGAATTTGTCATTGTGGAATCTGTGTCATTGTTCTGAAATCATTATTTTCATTGTTATCAAACTTGTTCCTATTCAAACAATTTTTCAGCCACAGGATGGTTCTACATTCCTATGAATTTTGATTATGCTGAGGAATGGAAGTGGAATAAAGTTAAACGTACAGTATATCAGGACTCTTATATTGCAAGATATACATTAGTGTAATTTACAATCTAGTAAAATAAATGTTATCATTGTATTTTGTGCATCTCATCATGAAATATTGATATCCAAATTATTATTTCAATGTTTTAATAAAATCTGTGATATTGAATTTATGGTGTGTTTTATGATATCTGTTTAAAAGAGAGTTAAAGTGTATTCAGTGAACTTGAAAATATGTACAATGTAATACCCTTAATGTCCCTCACACACATATCCCCGCCTATCCTGATAATTCTGATCTGTCAGAGTTACTGCCCTTTATTTCACTCTGATGGTATACTGATAAGCTTGAAAGCCAATGGGGGCTGAGAATGATCTGAATTAAAAAAGTAGAAGAACAAAAGAGTGTAATGTGTTGGAATTTAAAATTTAAAATCATTGACCTTTGACCTTTTACTATTAGTTGAAAGAATTCAATGATAGCTTTCCATCATCTTAATTTCTGACCAGATTTACATACTGCATTTATAAATATCAAGTAGAGATACAAGAAAACAACAAATGAATCGATATATATGAGGAATCAAAGATGAAAGCTAATTAAGGTCACATTACTATTTATAGTACATGTATATGATAATTATTTGCATGGGGTCATCTATGTCTTATGTAAATGTATTTGCTAGCTTTGAGATTGAGTTACAGATAAAATATTGTTGTGAGGATATACTATATTGCAAGATACATCATTTACATGTATAATGCTTCAGGATTATATATAGACCTGTATATACAATATATGTTCGTAAATAAATTTGGAAATTCCATGGAATTTTAAAATTGACTACAAGCTATCTGTTCTCTTACATTAACACATCTTTATCAGTAAAATTCCATGTTTTTTTTTTGTTAAAACATTGAAAAATGTCAAAAAATGTCATTCAGGAATGCCCCAATGATAATTTTATTATATTTGAATATTTGTGAAATCACAGACTTAGATAAAGATTCTGTGGCTAGAAAAAGCAGTGATATAGAATTTATTAAAACCTTTCACAATAAATGAAATAAGTCATATATGGAACATGATAGCTACCTATAGCAGTTTGTGTTTCTCAAAAAGCTGAGGAGCAGACCAGTCTGTGCCATTGTGATTGTGTCTTTGAGCAAGATACCTTACCTCAATTGCTCTGGATGGCATTAATTATGTCTAAGAACTATGATAGACATTGGTGATCAATAGTTCCTACTTTTTAATTTTTTTTTAACTTTACTTAATTTTATTACCTTATTTGGGGGGGGGGGGGAGGGGGGGCTGGGGAAGAGAGAGTGATGAAAGCAATGTTGATGGTTTACTTGGATGTGTTCTGTACCACGTGATAAGATTACCAGTACACTTTTTCGTCAGCTTTTACTGACAGCTAATTTATAAGAGTAATGCTATTTAGGTAACAACATGCTAGTAATGAAGGGATGCGAAGCTTGTTAAAATAAAGTACCTTGACAAATTTTCAAGGTCACAAGGTCAGATTGGTTACAAATCTTTGATAACTTGTTAATAACCAAGTCCGGGGTTACGGCCTTAGACGGCAGGGTGCTGAATAGCGACTAAGTTTGATCAAACCTTGACACACTTTCAAGGTAGCAAAGGCCAAATATGCCCAAGACCAAATGGAAATAAAAGAAAAAGAAACAAAGTACCAACATGTCAACAAACTCAAATTCAGTAAAATATGGCAAAATATTAACAAAAGTACGATTTATACAGTAAAATTCTTTTCAATAACTAATGTCCACGACAATCATAATTATATGGGGCGAATGACATGCCTGACGAATGGCTGCAAAGCTTGGTTTGTTGAAATGAATGACCTTGATGCACTTTAAAGGTCACATATGTCAAATGCGCTAAAATCTTAAAACCACTTCTCAATAATCAAGATGCCCAGGGTTATGATATAAAGACATATACAATTAAATGCTTGTTATTACCATGATCCACGTTTGAGGTATCAAATGTTGTATTCGTAAAAGAAAAAAAAAACTAACAATTTGTTGACAATGACCAAGTGGGATCACTGAGGCCAAAAATGATGATATCTTCAATTGACGACCCAGAATCACATTTGGCCGATGGCGTACTGAGATGAAGGGATGCCAAGTTTGTTAAAATTTATTGATTGCCTTGACCTATATCAAGGTCACACAAGTTAAATGGGCCAAAATTTTATAAATACGACCACTTTTGAATACATTTGTAAGCAAAATACCACGAGTAGGTAAACCTATCACCGACAGCGAACAAAATAACTGGTTCTTTTCCTTGTCCATAAACAGCAATACAACTGTCATCCAACACAAATCACTTATTTTTTCAGGTAAAGAAATCGATTTCGGTGACCTTTGAACTTTTGTGCACAAACGACTGTAATTGCTAGTGTAGTTTCTTTTAACCTACCGCGATACGGCGGCACGGGATATTAACGGTATGTTTTAACTTCAAAAATTAACAGCAATTATAACCAAACAATGCCAGAACTTATGTAAATTTCTATCGTACATCATGCATGTATGAGTTTGCTTCTAATGTTCCTCAAAAGCGACGTAATTATGATGAACGCAACGTTAAATACACAAACTTCAAAAACTTGTACGTGCGGAAATGGGGAAATTTTTCAACGCTTTGTCAAACCGTGGCATTTTTTTCAGTCTTTTTTTCATGTAGTGATATAACAGGTAATTCTATTGATTTTCCATAACTTCGTGTTTTGATGGATTTGAATGAACAGACCTGGAACAAAAATGCAAACAATTTTTGATCTATGGAAATATACACTTCTGTCAGAGGTAAAATAAAATATGATTTTAGAATCGCCTGAAGGAAAGCATCGTTTTCAGAAGATAATGGGTTGAATGTCCGTTGGAGAAGCAGATAAAAACAGTTAAGCCAAGTTGAGAACTTCTTGACGTTTCCTGTCATAATTTAGGAATGTTGATTGATTTGAGAAGGTCACACCACACTTACCTAAATCTATTTTATTCAAAGCCTTTATACATTTGATCTTGATTGGAAAAAAAAATCAACGATGATTGATTTTAACCTTTGACATATAATCATATACCTTGTTTTCTTTTCTGAATATGGCATATCTTATTTCAACTTTCCAATATTGACATTGCAGGTGTCGTTGATTAAACAGAGGACGCTTTCCCATCCGGAACGCCTGGTCTTATTTTCATTGTACTTTTTCAGATGTCAACATGTGAATGTCTTTTTTTTAATATTTTTTCCCGTCGTTTTATCGATTTCGAGTTTGCATTTAGACCGGTCGATATTTTCACAATATGTTTGTGGTTGAATATTACTGTATCTTCAATGCACATGCACAAGCATGTTTGCGACGACCTAGACGACCCTGATTGTGAATTCACTCGCACGAGTGCATAAACAAAGTCTGACAAGAGAACTTGTTAGGTAACCAACCTAACACAAAATCATATTCGTATCTTTATCAGAGAATGTGAAAAAAAACGCCTTGTGTCAAGTGTTTTTGAAAATCTCGCGAACGTTTTCTCTCATATAACGAATGACCATGTTTTTTTTTAAATTTTTTAAAAATTTTAACTCTCACATCTAGATCGATGTTTACATCATTCCCGAACTTACTGAAATGTTACAACATGAAATGATGAGTTATAACTGTATAAAAAGAAGGGGAAGATATATTTACCATTGTATGGCATTGCTGCGGTGTTATCCGATACCTAATTGTGTATTTACGGTTCATGAACAGTTAAACCACGTAGGGATATTGTATCTTATGTAAACAAAGGCCGAGGTCATCATTTGATGATGATCTGAATTTTAATCAGATTGTATTACGTATCTAAGATCTGAGAAACATTATTAATCAAAAGGACTATGCAGGTAACATTGACGGGTTTTCAGAACGAATTGAACAACAACAAAACGGACACATTACAGACTGTTTACAAAATACTTTTTTTATTGATTCCTAAATATAAACTCACGTAGCACTGGCAGTTTAATTAGGTAAACACACGGACTTTGATCTAAGTTGGCGACGTAATTATTTACCCGTTATTTAAAACAAAGGATCAAAGAGATATGTTTGATCCTGGAAACTTGTTGAAAACTTAAGCTTGATTGGATTCTAGATGATTAGTATATCAGATTCTCAAAACAAACCCTGGATCAGAAAGCGGGTCACATATTTATGTGGCAAGTGCGTATTACATATGAGTTGAAGTTCAATTAAAGATACGTTATTCTTTAAGGTAGCTCGGGACAGGAAGTGGACGTTTCAGCAGAACCAGACATAGTCCGATATATTACCTTCGGGAAATTGAAGTCTAAAAACTGTATAACCTTTATTTACAGCCATTATGAAACAAATTTATCATTTCTGCTGATTCATGTTATTGGGACCAAGACAGCACCGACTGTATAGCAGAAAAAAACAAACAAACAAACAAACGCCTTCTTATTTCAGAGAGAGAAATATGTTAGAGAAGTTGCTCAAGTATTGAGCCACACAACCATCATAAACATTAAAACACCGTTTGGATATTCCTTCGAGAAACATTGTCGTTCGTTTTGACCAACTATATAAAGGGAGATAACTTTCGTCTGTAAACCTTCAATAAACACAAATGTACATGTTTCTTACTCATCAACAAGATCCTTTTTAAAAACAGGTAGTTTTTGCTGATAATGTACATTTG